ACGAACAAACAACCACACAAACAAGCAAGCAAGCAGAATCCGCGCAGCGGAATCACGTTTCAGCCACGCAGCCAGGGACAGTGAATGACTGTTCGGCCCCCTCACTGTGATACGATCTAGGTCCGAGGGTTCACAGGCCCCCACCCCAGATGGGATGGATGGGCCCCAGGGTTCCACAGCAACACCCCCCGAGATGGGATAGGGGGGACAGGAACGACGACGACGACGCCGTCGACGCCGACGCCGACGCCCAGGACGACGTCGACGAAAGACGACGCCGAAGCCGACGCCGACGCTGACGCAGACGGGAGACGACGTCGACGACGACGACGACACTGCTTCCTACGACGACGACGACGACGACGAAGACGACGAAGACGACGACGACGACGACCACCGTGGCGTCCACAAGGCCACGACCACAGGGAGAGAAGGCGGGGGGCGATCCCATCCGCGAGGCCATCGCGAGGCTCACGGGCGCACCCAACCATCGGGGGAGGGGAGCGATCCAATTAGCATTGGAGGGGGGGGTGGCGGAGCCCTGGATCACATATGCCTGATCCTTCTGGTCTCGCGAGGCCCACTGGCCCACCCCCACCCAGGAGAGTGGGCGCGGCCCAGTGGGCATGGGGGTAATTTGTAGACGATATTGAATCGAGGGGCGCCAGTAGGGCGGGCCAGCTCAGGGAGGGAAACATCGAGGCGGAATCGGCGATACTTCGCCGCCGGATCGGCGGGAGGCCCCCGACGGCAAATCCACACGGTCCTGGGATAGGTGGGCTATCGGCCCCCGATGGCGATCAGTGGGCGATTGGGGGTCGATGCACTCTCCCCTGAGCCATCCCCACCCCCCAACGTTGCCGCTGCTCCCCGGGCCTCTCCGCGAAGGCGCATTCTTACCAGGATTTCGGGGACTCTTCCTCGCTCTCCGCCTGGCTGACTCCGCTGCGGCGCTGCGCGTGCGGCCGCGGCGCCGGAGAGCGTGTGCGCGCGTGCGCGCGCGTGCGTGGAGTGCGTGTGCGCGCGTGCGTGTGCGCGCGTGCGTGTGTTGTGCGCTTGCTTGTGCGTTTTTTCCGCTCGTGACTGAGCCGTGCTCGAGCTTCTGTTTGCCATTGTGGCTGCGCGTGCTCGTGCGCGCGCGCGACGCCCAGCGGTAACTGCTCTGGGCGTGCCCCCCCTCAACACTCGCTGCGCTGCATCAACCGGCCGGGAAGAAAGAGACGTGCTTCTCTCCCCTGCGTCCTGCACGGGCGGCGCACACACACATCCGCAGCCGCGCCCTCGCGGTCTGCACTTAGGACGCGCCCCCGCGGATGCGCGGTGGCACGGCTGCGCCCCGCGCGGGGCATCCGCAACAGAAGCGCCCCGTGCCCGTGGGGTCGCGGCCTGGGGGCTCCGGCCCGCGAGGCCGAGGATACGGACACGCTTTCCCACGTAGGCAATCCAGCCCACGAAGCGGCTGCGTGCAAAGGTGTCGCTCGCAGACGTGGCATCGCTCAGGCTCAGCCTCCGCCGGCCCCATGTCTGCACCTCTTGGATGGGTAGGTCATACTGAGATGGTTCGGCATGATCAAAAGTCCTTCCAACAACCACCTCGAACACATGGTTTTACTTGATTCTGACGCCCTTGAAACCCAAATAAAAATGATCTCGTATCTGAGAATATAATCGAAAACATTTCATTTACATAGTTACTCTGCGTTGCTGCACACCCATACTCTGTTTTTTCTTCTCTCCCATGTGCTGGTGCAATCGGCTTGCGTCCTTCAGCCCAGTTTTCCTTAGGCGCGCCCCTGCCCCTCCACCTCTCTATTCCCTCTCTGCCCTTCCTTTCCCCATTGCAAGGCAGGCTCGAAGCAAAACCATTTTTCAAGCAGGCGACGCGCGCCACAGATACATTCACTGACGCAATACAAGCGGCATACTGTCAAAGGCATCAGAGCAAGAGAAGACAACGCATGAGTAGGAACATTCAGAGGAGGAAGGATGAGGGAGGACAATGACGACGACGACGATGGCAAGGGGGAGGGGGAGGGGGACTTGCAGTGGGGGAGGGGAACGTAACGTTGCACAGCGAGTCAGCATGGCAGACTAGAGAGATGCACCGGTGGCGTCAAAATAATAAGGATTAGGTGGGGACTGGCGATCACACTGATGAAGAAGAGGAGGACGAAGGAGTAACGTCAAGGCAAGACAGATGGGTGAGCGTGCAAACAGGATGGATGCGGGGGAGACTCTCGCACACGCCCACAGCGACAAAATTTGGGCGAAAGGTAAACTAACGCCTTCTTCGAAGGCCTCGGCACGCGCACAGAGGAAGAGGAGGAGGAATATCATGTGTTGCGACCCTCATCCATTCCTCACTGATCACAGCTCCTGAATTGTTTCGCCCCTCGTTCCATCCCCTCTCCACCTGATCCTCCTCCTATTGATTTTCATCCTCATCATCTTCCTGATGTCCACCTCCCCCTCTCCTTCTCTCTCCACCGCGTCGTATCTCTCGGTCTCTCTCTCTCTCTCTCAATATTTTCCTATGTCATCCTCCCGCACCTCCCCTCATCTGCTTCCACGCGTCCCTCTTCTACTCCTGCGCTTTTTTTCTCTCTCTCTCTCTCTCTCTCTCTCTCTCTCTCTCTCTCTCTCTCTCTCTCTCTCTCTCTCTCTCTCTCTCTCTCTCTCTCTCTCTCTCTCTCACGCTCTCTCTCCCTCTCTCCTCTCTCATTCCATCTCGCTTCCCTTGCGGAGTCCGCGAGTCCGCGCGCGCCGTGGCCGCTCGGCGGCATCCACTTGTGAATGAACGACGCCGCCGCCGACCTGGCGGGGGCGGGGTGCGACGCAGGAGGAAGAGACGGAGGAGGAAGAAGGGGGGCACGGAGGAGGGGCAGGAGGCGGCGCGTGGGCAGCATGAGAATGATGACGACTCGGAGAACGAGAGGAGGACATGGAGTCGGAAATGGAGGAGGAGGAACGAATCGGAGCAAGAGGTGGATAGGGGTCCTGTGGACGGTTAGAAGATAGGAGGAGGAGGGGCAAGAGGAGGCAGGAGTAGGAGAAGGTGGAGGAGGAGGAGGAGAGGAGGAGAAGAAGAGGGGGAGGAGGAGAAGGACAAGGAGGAGGAGGAGGAGAAGGACAAGGAGGAGGAGGAGGAGGAAGAGGAGGAGGCGGAGGATAGGATGAAGTCAAGAGGAGGCGGACAGGGAGGAGAAGAGGAGGAAGCCAAGAGGAGGAATACGTGGAGAAGGATAAGAACAAGAATGTGAAGGTGGAGGAGGAGAAGGTGGAGCCAAGGTGGAGGATAGGGAGAACGAGCAGGAGGATGAGGCGGAGCAAGAAAAGGAGGATGAAGAAGGAGGGGGGGTAAGGACGCGAGGAAGATGAGCCAAGGATGAGCTAGGACAACCGTCGCCGGCGTCGACGTCGTTGACGCCGCCGTCGGGCCGTCACCCGCGCCGCCTTCATCCCGCCTGGGCCTCCTCGCCCTCCTCCACCTTCTCCCCGTCCTGGGTCCTTCGCCCTTCGCCCCCTCCAGCTGTCAGGCCTCCCTTACTTTCCAACTCAGTTCCCCCTCCTCCGACTTGCTCCTCCCCCTCCCCCTCGCTCCAAGTCCTATGGGGTGGAGGGTGGTGAGTGAGAACGAGGAGAGGATCAGAAGGGAAGGAGGCGCGCGGGCGGGCGGGCCTCTCCTTCTTCGCCTTCGCGAACTTCCAGTCGTCGAACCACGCCCTGCGGCGCCACAAGTCGGGCTGGTCCGCGTGGAACACCGACTTGTGCTCCTCGACCTCCGTCAAGCTGGGCACCTGGTAACGGTGCCTCCCGCCCGAGTGCATTGAGCAGCGCAACGGATTGGAGAGTGAGTGAGCGAATGGAGTAGTAGAAGGGAAGGGGCTACGAGCAATGAAGCTAGCACGTAACTGAGCAAATAAATGACCGTAGCAACGGGCAGTGAAAAATGGAGCAAGCCACTAGATCAGATATGTCAGATATGGAAGTATGAAGTGGTGGAGGTAAGGACCATGTGAGCAACGCAGTAAAAGCTCAGTGCGCGGGTGGAATCAGGCATGCAAATCGGACCAGCAGAAGGCAGAGGCAATGAGAAGGAAGGCACCATTATCATTGCAACAACCCCCATACTCGCCCCCCCCCCCCCCTTACGTCTTGCAGTCGTTCCCGATGCCAGCGTTGACCTCGATCACGGTGTAGATGATCTCGTGCGTCTCCTTTTGATGGGCACTAGAGGGGGGAGAGGGAGGGGGGGGGAGAAGAGGGAGGAGTAGGATGTGAAGGCGAGGAGGAGGAGGAGGAGGAGTCGGAGGAGGAGGAGGAGGAGGACCAGGATGAGAAGGTCAGAGGAGTCCGTGGATGAGAAGGGGAGGAGGAGGAGGAGGAGGAGGTGGAGGAGGAGTAGGAGGAGGAGAAGGAGGAGCGGCTTGTAACTCGTGGTGGGGGAAACGTGCCCATAATCCTTCTGCGCCTCCACCTCCTCCTGCTTCCTGCTCTTCTTGCGCTTCTTGGAGGGCGGGCCCCCGCAGCCGCTCGGGCCGCTGACGTGGCTCTCCGTGTCGTCGGCGGCCTGCGGGCGGCGCGGCAACGGCGACAATTGGCGATCGACGATGCCCCCGACGTGCCCCCGCACCGGCGTCAACCACATCCACCTGCCCGCCCGCCCCAAACCCAACACTGGCCTACTTACTTACCAGACTCACCATCCTAAGTCATGCCCTACCTTACCAACGAAAGCACGCCCTACCGTACCCTATCCTACCCTGTCCTACCCTACCTCCCCCTACCTCCTACCTACCTACCCTGCCTTGCCCTTCCCTGCACTGCGCTGCCCTGCCCTACCTACCCTGTGATTCCCTTCCCCCACCCTCATCCTCTCCACGCCTCTTCCTCCTGGGCTCCTCTGAGAACAACGCGCGCGCCCCCCCCGCTCGCCTCGCCCTGGTTCTCGAAAACTTTCTTGGTGCCGATGAGCAACGCCAAGCAGCAATTGCTGCGCCCTGTGTTCGATACCTGGGACCCGTCAAGATCCGACGACGCCCCCCCTACTCGGAGAGCCCCGCTCAGCACGAGCGACGTGGGAGGAGGGAGGAGGGAGGTGGCTGGAGGGACAGATGAAGAGAGGATGATAGGATGGCGGGAGGAAGAGAAGGAATGGGCGGGAGAGAGAGAGAGAGAGAGAGAGAGAGAGAGAGAGAGAGAGAGAGAGAGAGAGAGAGAGAGAGAGAGAGAGAGAAAGAAGAAGAGAGAGAGAGAGAGAGAGAGAGAGAGAGAGAGAGAGAGAGAGAGAGGAGAGAGAGAGGAGAGAGAGGAGAGAGAGAGAGAGAGAGAGAGAGAGAGAGAGAGAGAGAGAGAGAGAGAGAGAGAGAGAGAGAGAGAGAGAGAGAGAGAGAGAGAGAGAGAGAGAGAGAGGAAGCGTCGTCGGCGAGAAGCGGCGGGTGGAATGGACCATGGAGACGCGGATGGAGCCGCGCCCTCCAGAGACACATCACGACATCAAACCTACGACGACTACGACGACCGATCGATCGACTCGATCGCGCTGGCGGAATGGCAAAGCCGCAGACTAGAACGTCGGCAGCATCTCGGAAATGGCCTTCTCCTCAGCGGTAGAACCCTGATAGTGCGGAATTTTGCAGAGTGGAGCGGAGAGGAGGCAGCGGGATAAAGAGAGCAACGAGAACATGAGAATTCAAGAATGAGTCAAGTGCAAGAACAAGTTCATTCAATTCCTGAAAGGATGACGGTATTTTGCCTCTCGGGCTTCTCGAGAGAACCAATGGTGCGTCCCGTCACCTCCTCCCCGCCTCTCCTTCCTCCTCCTCCTCCTCCTCCTCCTTCTCCTCCTCCTCCTCCTCCTCCTCCTCCTATTCCTACTCCTACCCCTACTCCTACTCCTACTCCTACTCCTACTACTACTACCACTACTACTACTACTACTACTACTACTACTACTTCTACTACTACTACTACTACTACTACTATTACTACTACTACTACTGTACTACTGTACTACTACTACTACTACTACTACTACTACTGCTGCTGATACTACTACTACTGCTGCATCAGCAACGACTGCTACTACAGCTACTGCGTCTGTCTACTACGACTGCTACTACACTGCTCCGCGAGCCTCCGCCGGCGACAATGGCAGGAGCAAGCTCATGTTCATGTGCGCGGCCACCGCATCGTCGACAACGCGCCCGTTGAACGGGAGGGTCGGCCACGTTCCGCCGCCCACGCAATGCCTCGCATGTTGCACACATTCCATGCCAACTCATTCCCAAATACATGCGAAAGAGACGGCGCAGGTTAAATGCGTACCATCGGCAAACCATCACTCGAAAACACACAATACTAAACGGCACGTGCAGATGAACGATGGCCTAGCCGAAACCTGGCGAGGCTGACTGAAGGGACGCTGACAACGTCGGGCGGCGACGACGATAGCATGACACCAAACATACATGGCACGCACAAGAAACGGAACGCTTAAGAACAAGAAATGATTGCAATCAAAAGTACAAGGCGTTGATAAGATAGATCCCCAATGCTGCCCCCGTGGAATCCGACGCCTCTCCAACTTCTGGCTCTTGATCTCACCCTTGTCGGTCTTCTCGATCTTGACGAACATGTTGGATTTTTGAATCAAGATGGCCCCCATCGACGTCGTGAACGTTTCTGGGGATGGAGAGGGTGGGGAAGGGCGAAAAAACGCTCGGCATCTCATTATTCCTTTCCGATTTCGCTCTCTGGATCGTTCTTCGCCTTCTCATCATCCTCATCATTCTCCTCGTTCTCCTCATCCTCATCCTTCCTCGCCATCCTTCCTCCTCCTCCTGGGTCTTGTCCTCCATGTCCATATCAATATTGTCCTCCCTCTCGCCCTCATCCCCCCTGCGGGCGCAGGTGCCGGCGCTGGTGGAGGTCGAGGAGTGCCAGGGCGCGTGTTCGGACGCGCAGGCGGCCTGGCCCCGCCCCCTCCTGTCTGCCCTCCACCTCCTCTGTCCCCCTCTCACCCCCTTGCATTTATCCTGCTGCTGCCGCTGCAGCCCCCCCCCTGCCCACCTTCTCCTCCTCCTGGGGGAGGAGAGGAGTGATGAGAAGGAGGGGGGGGGATGCAGGAGCGGGAGCAGAGGAATGAACTAACATAGCAACAATTCAGAAGCACAGGTCCTTGTATCTTGCTCTGCAGGGCCGCCTGGAACTGGTTCTTGATGTACTGGGCGATGCTGGGTCGCGAGCCGTTGTCTTCGCTGGTCGCCTGCTCGGCTTCCACGTTCTTCTGCCACCGCTCGGAGAGAAGCACGGGCTCGAACTTATTCTCCTGGCCGACGCCATTTCCGTTCGACGCCACGATGCTCTTCGAGGATGCCTGGGCTCATGCGCATTGCAAAAGAAAGCAACGAAACCGAGGGAGATTTGGGGAGGGCATGACGATGGGGGAATGACAACGGATGCGACCGCAACGAGACCCAAGGAACGCACGCAGTAACAATTCGAAACAACCATGTGAGATTCCACCCGCTACCCGCTTCGGGAACTCGTCCGCAAGCTCAGCGAAAACAGCGTCCAAGGGTGCGCCGGCCTTCATCTTGGTGTTCAAATGGTTCTGGTGCCCCGCAGCCCACTCTGCCATGATCTTCTGTTTGGTCTCACTGCCCTTCGTGAAGAGAACCGCATTATCCGCCACCTTCGTTTTCAAACCCCACTTGGTGGTAACCTCCCAACCCCCTTTGGACGTCAGATGGCGCATGCCCCGCCAACCACCACACCACCCCATCGGCAAAATAATAATATCAACAAATGCAAGAGCGCGCGAATGCAACAATGACAATCACAAGCATAACCGAGAGAGGCTGAATGAAAGATGAATAAGACAGAGAGCGAGACAAAAGAAGAGAGAAAGAGCGATAGAAGAAGACGGCCCAGGTAGGGGGGCACGCCGGCGACGGCGGAAGGGTCAACGTTATGACCCGTGCACTGCTAGGGGGGTGCGAAGCTAGAAAACATGCACATGCAGTAGCAGCCGCGCAGGACATTGACAAACGCATGCGCAAACACATTGCATAAAAATACATAAGCGGCCCAACCCCCACCGATCTCAGAGACTCAACAGTGTTGGCAGAGAGGCACTCTTTCTTAATGTTCTCGTGGTCTAAGCAAAACTGGGCGAAGCTAGCGTCTTCCGCCATGCCCGAGATCGCATGCAACTTGGCAACGACCAGATCCAACACTTTGCGAGTCGTCAGGTTGTGGGGGCCAGCCTCCCAAGCCCCGCATCGTCTCTCCGTCTCTCTCTCTCTCTCTCTCTCTCTCTCTCTCTCGCGCTCTTTCTCTCTCTCTCTCTCTCGCTGTTTTAGTCTCTCGCTCTCTCTCTCTCTCTCTCTCTCTCTCTCTCTCTCTCTCTCTCTCTCTCACGCCACTCTCGTTCGACTCGCTCCAAGTTCCGTCCTCCTCTCCTACTTCAAGCGCTCCCTCCTCCTCCTCCTCCCCCGACTCCTCCTCCTCCCCCTCCTACCTCTCCTCCTTCTCCTTCGCTTCAGCCATCACCTCCACTTCAGCCAATCGCGCAAAGTCAAGCACGCATCTCACATTGCGCTCCCGCGCGCAACAACGTGCCACGACGCACAGCGCGGCGAAGACAAGAGGCGGGCGTTACGCAACGAATGTCGCATTGAACAAGAACTTTGCACTGGCACCCTTATAAACCAGACAGGGGGCTGGGCAATGGTAGAATCATAACGCGGCCCCTGACCTCTGGCATTGGCGGACGCGTAGGATGAAGCGAACAGAAGCGATGCTTCACAATGAGATGAAACGCAAAGCTAGAGAACGCTTGTTTGAGGCAGTGGCGATATCAAAGTTCGCTTTGCCAGCTCTGTGCAACAATTCGCCGTGGCGCGGCAGTCTACATTCTGCTGCGCGTCGGCACGCGCGAGCCACTACTACTTCTACTACTAGATTGCTTCACGCTGTGCCGAGGGAGAAGAGCAGAAGGGCAGCATCGAGGCCAACAGGCAACGAGTTGGCGCTTTCCCGAATCACTGATCGTTCCCCCAAGCTGGTGAAGTTCACCAGGTTGAACTCTCACTCTTCTTCCCGTCCTCAGAAGTTCCCCCAAACTGCAGAAAGCCCTTCCTTCTCATCCTCCACCTCATCCCATCCCCTTCCCCTCCTCCTCGTTCTCCTCTACGGTTTCAAGCGAGACGCAAGCAACGCGGCCCTGTGGGCCATTGGAAAAAAGGCCAGCCACAACGAGAGTGGCTCTAAAGGTACGGCCCCACGCCCGCGGCCGACGCCGCGTCACCGCGACCGGTGCTGGAAGCCGAAGACGCAGCTGCTAACTCTCGCTCCCGCTTCTTCAACGCGTTCAGCTCCTGCTGAATTTTCCACATGGCGTCCACCTCCGAATCGGAATACTGGGGCAGCTGCCAAGCCGCGTTGCCAGAAGAGGACGCCGCCGCCGCCGTTCCGCCCAGGTTGCCCTCGTTCGTCTTGCTGCCCTCTCGGAGGCAGCCCAGAAAGGCAAAATGCAAAGAGCGACAAGCAGAAGAAACAGGAAGATCCAATTATGACCAACCCCATAGGCGCCCCATGTTTCGCCTCAATACTTCTGTGCGCTTGTAAAAAACTCATCCTCGCCCAGAAGAACAATTTCTCCTTCGTTCCTTATCGTGCGATTCGTCCTTTGACTCAACCTTCCTTTCGTTCTCATCCTCCCTTCCTTTTTCATTCCTCCTCATTGCTCATCCTTCCATATCATCCTCCCTTCTCATTGCTAATTTCCTCCACCTCGTTGCTATCGTCCTACCGAGCTCCTGCGCCAACTTCGGCTGCTGGCCACTGGCGTCGCCGGTGGCGCGCGGGCCGAGCTCCTGGGAGATCTGGCCCGCCATGGCCTCGATCCCCATGGGCGGCAACCCAGGGGCATTGGCTCTCCACTGCACCCACTTCTGCCGCTCCTCGCGGGGTTGCGGGGCTCCTCCTCCTCCTCCTCCTCCTCCTGGCCCTCCTCCTCCTCCTCGTCCTCCACCTCCTCCTCATCTTCCTACTCCTCCTCCTCATCCTCCTCTTCCCCCCCCCCCTCCCCCTCCAGGCAAAGAAGAAAGGGAGCAGCATCGCATAGGTTAAAAGTCGGACGCTAGCAATGATGACAAGATATCGGTGGATGAACAATGACATCCTCATCATCGTCGACATCCTCACCGATATCCATCAGGGCGGCCACGAGCGGCAGTAGCTCCAAAGGTATCTGGGGGGGGGGGGGGGATCATGACACAAGGACTCCAGAAACGAATGAGCATATTAGACGAGTGGGACACGGCTGACATAGCAGAGATGGAGAGCACGAGAATGGGAACAAGATCGTTAAAAAAAACTATCCTTCCAGAAAGCAGCGAAAGCGCCCCTCTTCTTCCCGTTCTCGTAGCCAACATTGACGCCAGCCTTGTAGCCCTGCGAGTAGGCGGTCTGCCAAAGTGTCGATTCGGCCTCCGTGAGTATTCTGGTCATCACTGGCAACGCGCGGTTTGCCACCAGGCCCGTTGCTGCACCCGCTGCTGCTGGATGTGCTGAGGTGTCCACCACCATTGCATCTGCTGAGGCTGCCACCCCCGCTGCAGATGCTGAGGCTGCCACCCCCGTTGCAGATGCTGCATCTGCTGAGGCTGCCGCGCCCGATGCCTCTGGGGCTGCGGCTTGAACCTGCGCCTCCTTACATTGTTTTGGCACATTTGGACGCTTCTTTGGCTTCGGCTGCAGACCACAGTGGGTCTTCGCTCCATCACGTGCTGAGGCTGCCGCTGGGCCGTCGACGTCGACGATGACCGCGTCGCCTTCGCCAATCGCTCGCTTCCGCAGCGGGGCAACTGGCACCGGTGGCGGCGGATCGGGCGCTGGCATTGGCGCTGATGACGGCGCCTCCTCTAGCCCTGTGGGCAGCGAAGCTGAGGTCGGCGCTGGCGCTGACTGCGGTGGTCGCGTTGGCGGACGCTGCTGAGGCTGCGGCTTTGGCTGCAGCTGAACGCGCGGCTGTGGCGGCGGATGCGGCGGAGGCGTTGGCCGCAGCTGACCGCGCGGCGGCAGATGTGCTGGCTGTGATGGTGGTGGCGGATGCTGCGGAGGCGGTGGCGGCGGTGGCGGTGGCTGCTGCTCACCGCGCGGATGCGCTGGCTGTGGTGGCGGAGGCTGCGGATACGGTGGCGCTGGCTGAAGCTGACCGTCAGGCTGACCGTGCAGTGATTGCGGTGGCTGTTGTTGTTTCTGCGGAGGCGTTTGCTCTGGTTGTGGCTCTGGCACTGGCTCTGGCTGTCCCTGCGGAGGCGGAGGCGCTGGCTGCGGCTGTGGCTGAGGGGTCGCCGGTGGCGGCGGCGCGCTCCACTCACCCCAGGCGTCATCATCGTCGGGGTAGTTCATGGGCAGCGTGGCTGGCGGGTCGTCCTCGAGAGCCATCGCATGCACTGACGCCGCGGGCGTCGCCCGTGGCATCGGAACCATGCGACCCCGTACTTCCGCGAGCCGCCGAATGCAAGCAAGCTCGAGGCCCTGCCTGCTCGAGCCAAAACGGCGTCGGCTCTCTCGGATCGCTCAAGGAGGGGATGTAGGCGCAACAATGCCCCCAGAATGCCCCCAAAGAGGTCGCGAGCGTCTAAGAGAGCGAAGATACAAGAATTGGAGGCATTTGCATCTCAATTGCACATCGGAAAGCAATGAGAGTGGACGCGCCAGCCACGTTCAAGAAGAGCAAAAATGCGATGGAGGGTATATAGCGAAAAGAGAAGCCTATGGGCGCCAGCGCACGCCCACGATCCCAGCCCAGCCCGCCATCATAGTAGTAATTACTTCTGGCAGGGAGACCATCGTCTTCTCGATTTCAACCTTGGTGGCCAAAGTCGCAATGCCAAGTACCTCCCGCGGGGGTCTCGCGGCATCAGCAATCCTTGCTCGAAAGAGGGCGCCCCGTTTGCTTTTCCCTGTCGCCCTCCGCTCCTCCCTCATCCGCTGACTCGTCTTCCATGCACCCCTCTCTCCTACTCTGGTGCCTCGCCGCCCCGTCCTCCCGTGCCAGCCCGACGCGAGGTCGTTTTGTTGGAAACTTCGCATGGGGCGTAGAGGGAGAAAGATAACCATAGAGAGAGAGGGAACGTAGAGCACATGGTGTTTGCGGCATGCGTGCATGAAGAACACGCGCGATGGGGCGGCGAAGCGAAGCAGCGCGCACGCGAGCACGCCTACGCACAACAAGTAGCCCACTAGAGGCCCACTAGGCATTTTCACCCGAAAAAACAAGTAAGACATGCAATACAGCACAGTGCAGAAATACTCACGGCATGCATGCACGACCCCTTGAGACGCGGGCAACGCGTGCCACAGGCAAAGACCAATATACAATTCGAGAAAGCCACAGGTAGCAAGAGAGAGAGAGAGAGAGACTCTCTCAGAGGGAGAGAGAGAGAGAGAGAGAGAGAGAGAGAGAGAGAGAGAGAGAGAGAGAGAGAGAGAGAGAGAGAGCGAGAGAGAGAGAGAGAGAGAGAGAGAGAGAGAACGAGTCTGAGAAGAAAAGCGGCGCGTGGAGAGAAGGGGGACAGAGGGCGAGAGAGAGAGAGAGAGAGAGAGAGAGAGAGAGAGAGAGAGAGAGAGAGAGAGAATGTCAGAATGTCACAGAGAGCAGCCCGACGCCGCGCCCCGACGCTGCTGGCCCGACGCCGCGACGCTCCCCCTCCTTCCCGCCACAATCGGCGGAACGTACGGATGGCTCGTGGCGGCCGCGGGCAGCAAAGCGCGCTCCTCGTCGTTGCTCAAGGCCGCCGGCGCGCGCAGCACGAATACCATCTGCTTCAGGTTGTCGAGAACATGCGCCAGCAATTGGATCTGCGCCCCAGAGACTCTCGCAGGACAGAGGTCCTGGCCCTACCCCGAAACAAACATCACGCATGCGAAGCAGCCTTCATTGCATGTTATATCTTTTCGCAAGCTTCACGCGTCTATTCTCATTGTACACAACTGTCACACAGCAATATTTGCGATGTCTTGCGAGCTTGGCACGCAAAGAACATCGACATGCCACGCGACTTCTACAATTGTCTCAAAGGTGCAAGATGGGTGCAGCATCCGACGCCAAAATGTTTTCTCTCACAGGGTGCGAATCAGAAACCACTGTGCCAGAATAAAAAGAGTTAGTTCAACGTGGCACATAAACAGCCGATTGAGAAACGCCCACCCCGCGTCGGGCCCTGGTCCGCGACAAAAGTTTTTCACTTCGATAGATAGGTAAACACAACACCCTTCCTCACCCCCCGTACCAGTACCGACCCCCAGGCCCGATCCAAATCCGCCATCGCGTGGAAGGGTGCGCTGATCAGCACGTCGTGCTTCTCTGCAGCCTTGACGTCCGCAATAACTTTGGCAACGTCCATAAGGTGCGATGGGAGGTTCATTTCCACGTGAGCAAAAGCGGTACTCAGAAAATAGTTCCGAGGATCCTCCATGTTGTCCCACATCCCCCCCATCGAAGACACGTGCATGGTGAGGGCGGCCATCGCGGAATTCATCGTCTTCGCGGCGTGGCCCTGCGCCTGCGGCAAGGCGAAATCTAGCGGAAGAAGCAAGCTCGAGCTTAAAAGACGAATCAGATGTAATACTTGCAAATGAACTGTGATTTGGATCAATCGCATGGTCATTCGTCATCGTCATGTTTCCTTTTTTCCGCCCTCTTACTGTCTGTCCTAGTCCTGCGTGCTAAGATCCGCTGGCCCCTCCCCCAAGCGACACCAGACACGCATGATGCGCATTTCCCTATGTCTGTGCAAGCTCCTGCCTTCATCTCTTTGATCCCCGCTCCCCCGCTGGCCACGCGTCGATCTACCCCCGAACCTGCATTAATTATCATGACATATGTTCAGCTCTGCTTGTTGGCATCGCTGGTGTTCTACGTCTTTCTCTCTCTCTCTCTCTCTCTCTCTCTCTCTCTCTCTCTCTCTCTCTCTCTCTCTCTCTCTCTCTCTCTCTCTCTCTCTCCTCTCTCTCTCTCTCTCTCTCTCTCTCTCTCTCTCTCTCTCTCTCTCTCTCTCTCTCTCTCTCTCTCTCTCTCTCTCTCTCTCTCTCTACATCTCACTCTGTCCAAATGTTTCTCTGTCTCTCTGTCTGCCTTTCTGTCCGCGCCACTCTTTCTATATCTCCCTCATCTCTATCTATCCCTCTCTGTATCTCTGTCTCTCTTTCCCTCTCGTTGTCCGCCCCCAGCCCGCGCGCCCCTCAATTAGTTCCGCAGGCAATAGGCGAGAGAGATCCCACCAGCCCCATCAGGCCATGAGAGGCAGCGAGAAGCCGATCGTGTCACAGACGAGGTTCAGCACATCCTCGGCGGCCTGAAGGCGGGCAACGGGGGGCAGCGAGCGCCGGCGCTGAGGGGCCAGGAGGGAAGAGGAAGAATGAGGAGGAGGAGGAGGGAGGAGGGAGCAGGGAGGAGGGAGGAGGTGAAGGTGGGAAGAGGCAGAGGAGGGAGGTGAAGGAGAAGGGGGAGGAGGAGTCGGAGGGGTCGGAGGCGTCGGAGGAGGAAGAGGAGGAGAAAGAGGACGAGGAGCAGTCGGGGGAGTCGGAGGAGTCGGAGGAGGAGGAGGAGGAGGAGGAGGAGAAGGAGAAGGAGGAGGAGGAGGAGGAGGAGGAGGGAGGCGCGGGCGGGCAATGACTGAGACAGAATAAAGTCGGCCCCTCAAAGCAGCAGCACGTGCCAGATAGATGAGAGTTACCAGCGTGTGCAAGTCAATACCAAAGCAAAGAGATGAGTGAGCAAGAGGGCGCGCGTTGTTGTTGCTGACGATCATCTCTGCCAAGAAGCCCTCGATCTCCTCCTGATTCCCCGCGGTGCTGGATTCGCTGACCAGGTTCAGCACCATCAGAGCGTCAGGATCGGAATCCCTCGGGGGGCGCGGCAACATGTCGAGCCAATGCGATCGCGAAAGGAGGGGGAGGGGTGCAGAGCTCGAAGGAAACGAATGTAGAGTTAATAACATTGCAAACTGAAGATGGAAGGAGCTGGGGTTGAGCGGCGATGAGTTGGGACGCAGAGCGGTTCGATGCCAGCCGCGCACAATGGATACAAACCAGAAAAGCAATCATTGATTGGCGAGCCTTGGCTTGAGGCGGGCATTGCGGTAGATCAGAGACTTCATGAAGGCCTGGAGCACTGTCCACCCTTTGATCTCCTTCTCGGTGCCAGGCGCCTGCAGCTTCAACGACGTCGCGCCCCTGCCCAACCCTCCAGGCAAGCCAGATCGCTACCGCCGTCTCTGTCAGCATTATCGTCGTCGCAAGAGTCGTCGCTGCCGCCGCCGTCGCTGTCCTCGCTGGGTCGTCGACGTTCGCACCAAGCGACAAGCACGCATAGTTGAGAAGAGCTGTCGAGGCAATCTGGAGGAAACGCCGACGACGATGACGACCCCAAAGACGATTGAAACAACAAATGCAAGTGGGATCAACAACGCCAATTGGAAGCAAATGCGAGCAGCATGGCACGTGACAACTGATGAGAGTTGACAAGCGCCCCGCGCCACCCTCCCCCCACCCGACAGCCATGAACAACGCGATGTGGCGAAAAGCCTCGATGAGTTCAGCTTGCGACTTGTCGATCTTTGTCAAGTAGGCCACAGCGTTGTCTAAGTGAGTGAACCAATCTGCCGTCGCCCCCTCTGCGTCGTCGCCGATCAATTCCAGGGGGAGAGGGGTGTGCTTCAGCTGCGCTGTCTTCTTATTGACTTTCTTGCCTTCCGCTTCGGCCTCGCGACGCGCGCCGCTGTTCCCTGGCCCCTACCTCCCACTCCTCCCCGTGCCAGTCCCCTACCGACGTCCTACCTCCCACTCCCCACCTACCTCCTACCTCCAAACCCCCTGCCACTTGAAACCCGCCCTCAACCCTGTCTCCCACTACTCTCCCCATGCCACTTCTCGCACGCTCTCACCGGCATGCCTTCGCCATCTTCTCGTCGAGCGTATGGACCTTCTGCTTGTGTTTCTCAGCCTTGTCGCATAGTTTCTTGGTGGCGGCCTCTGCCTTCTTCTTCCGCTTCTGCTCTGCCTTCAGGTCGTTCGCCTATGACGTGAAAATAGCGCATTGAAGTTAGGGCTGGCAACGACGAGGGGCTATGCAGACGGCACAAACAAAAGGACGACATCTTAACATGCTCGTGCTGCCAATCCAAACGGTGAGAGGGTGCTGCGACCTAAAACTAGAGAGGGCAATTGCACATGGCAAGCAACAATATGGATGGCATGCCCAGGCGGATCTGATGACCAAAAGGAGCGAAGACAATTCAACGGCTGATCTCGTGATATCCAAAATGACCTCGGCTCCACCATGTCAACTCAGACTGATGCTCGATCCCGACTGCCCCCTGACCCCAACTCTCCCCGATCAGCCTCGGTGTAAGCAGTGAGCAGCGTCTTCAAGCAGTCGTCGTTGATCGATCGCAAGAGCGGGAGGCCATTCGGGAGAGCCTCGCACTTGCCCCAGGGCTTGTTCACCCTCGGGAAGCCCAGAAGAACGACGTCCACGATGACGTCGGGCCGAGAGGCCTTCAGCGCCTTTGCAAGGGGTGCTAAGGACGGCGCGGCAGAGGGCCAAAGCAAGCAACGAGAGGGCGATAGCGAGAGAGAGGGAGAGAGAGAGAGAGAGAGAGAGAGAGAGAGAGAGACCGCGCGCACGACGTGGACATTGAGTCGGCAATGGATGAGGCAGCAGGGCAACAACAGAGCGTAGTCTTGATAGAAATGCATAGCAGCCAGAGAAGTAGAAAATTACATGTTCAAGCATGCGGGCACATGATGCATAATAGTTGCACACGCTGGCTAATGGATAGGCGGAGGAGGAGGAGGAGGAGGCCGACAAGGTCGCGCCTGCAAACCCTAGATCAATAACAAAAACAATTGAATCAACTGAAACATGCATCTCCCGTTCCCGTCTGCCCGCCCCCCAATCAGAGCTTTAAGAGCCTCGCCTGCATCCTCGCCACGCCCCCTACCGTCAAAGACACTACCCTGCTCCAAGCCAGAGCCCCTATCCCAGGCGGGGGGCGAGCCCGAGTGACATGCGCCAGAATGGTGTAGAGACGGTCGTGGGACTCCTGGGACATGTTCGGGAAATCGACCTCCCTGTTGGCCCTGCTGACCAACTGGTCCCAGATAGTGTGGCCCGTAACCTGGCACTTGGTCTTGACAGCGTCCTTCCTGAACGTCGCCGTGATTTCGTATTTGTGGCACGAGGCAAAGCGATCTGGATGCATGGCCTTGGGGCAGGCGGGCGTGGAGAGCAACGCGTGCTGCATGATCTAAGGCATCGGCAAGGGAGGGCGGGGTCCCCAGGACAATAGACATGCTCACGTACGACACAACAGATGACGCGACGTGTACGAATATCGATGATGTCGAAACGATCGAACTCATGAAATGCACGCGTTACATACATCAACGTGGTCCTCTGAATGACGTCGCAACAACGCCGACGAAACGCCCATGTCGGTTTTACTTGGAAGCTATGCTATAGGGATTGAGAATGGAAAGAGGATGGCGCCAAGCCAAAGGATCGGTGAGTGAAACAACTAATAGCTAGCTTGACCCAATCGTGACCAGAAGAAAGAGGAGGGAGGACACGTGGGATGTCGAGAAGCAGTGCCGGTGCCCACGCCGAATGGCCTCCCAATGTTAACACGCATGAGTTGCACTCAAGCAATCATCTCATCATGGTCATAGCATGTCCCTCACCCGCGTGGCCTGCACGTATTCGTACCGTTTCTCGTTGTACAGGTTCTGCCCCAAGCTGCTCCACGTCCACCCATTGGCTCGGCGAAGAGTGGCGAAGCCCGCCTCATCAAGAAGAAGGCCGCGTGAGCAGACGGGGGGGTGGCAGGCAGCAAGATATGATATGGCAAGTACCAGGATTGTGGAGGCAATGTCGCGTGAGGAGTAGATGAAGTCGGTATCGTTGCATGGCAACAACAACACAGCAACCAGTGATTACAACAACACGCAAATGGTCAGTGTGGTGTTCTCAAACAGCAGCAGCGCATGACATTGCAACCGTCGCGCGCCATCTAATCCACTGGCATCGACATCGTCGTCATTGGCATTACATTCGTCGTCGTAGTGTTGCTGCCGCGTGCCAACACGGATGCGCGACGCGAGTATGCGTGCTAGACATGTGTGCAGGCGGCCTCAAGCGCATCTACGTCCCGAATATGTTCGATGATCGTTGTCTCGGTCGACTCCCCGTTGAAGATATTGCCCAAGCCCTTTATGAACCTCACCACGCCACGAGTTACTGTCCTGCGGTATACTTTGCAATGCGGCCATCCTCTTTCGATGCTCCTGCCCAAGCCCACCAATTGATACAGCAATGGAAAAAGGATGCGTGGAATGCTCAAGAGGGGCGTAGGGACAAGGGATAAAGATCAGCAGGAGGGATAACATGAATGGAACTGAGCTTCACGTAGCAGACATGTTGGGCGTACACATACGCGCGTGACACAACATACACAGCCGTGTCGCAAGCATGACCCCAAACTACACATGCACAACTGAATTTGTATATGTCGAACCCGTGGCCCTTACACAGCATGCATGTTGGTGTACAAATCCAGCCACGACAACCAAACAACAGATGCGACCGTGATGTGTATTAGGCAAAACACGCCATAGGCCTGATCATGAACAAGTTCGCATTGTCAATGCATTACATGAAATCTGCCGACGTGGACGCAACGCACCCCCCATCACAACCCCTAAATCAGTTCGCACAAAAGCACATTAACGCATGAGTACAAGTGCTACATCAACTACATCAATGCCATCGCGCGCGCAATGCCAATCGCGATGCGCCCCTATAATCCTCTGTACGTTGCGATTATTGTTCTCGTGGTCTGCGATGTGTGCGGCCTTCATCCCTTCTGCCAGCGTTGCTCCGTGGATGGCCTCGTAGTGGTCCTTGTGGACATGCGCAACGCACACCGACGCGCGCAATGCACAGTAGCATGGCAATGTAACCAGCATGTGCGACGCGTGACGATGACAGCGCATGCTGAACACGATTCGGCGACGTGGATCGCAAATCAATGAAGCGCGGTGGCATGAGAGAAGTCAACACGCGGGCGACCCATTGGGGGATCGCAGACGATGATGGTCCAACGAACGTCTAAACGTGAAGGGAGAACAAACAACGGTGCTACCATGTCAACGCACTCATGTAACAAAGCAAAATCAATTGCAATCCTCCTTCGTCTCGTCGGGGTGCTGCACCAGCCACGCCCCTCCACGCGAGTCGGCCACCAAGCCGATCTGTTCGATGCTGGTCTGGCGACGCTGGACGCTCGCGAGGTCGCCTCTGTCGTTCCATTTGTGCCGCGTCTGCCCGCCGCGCGCCCATGAAGAGCCAATGCAACATTTAGCTGCGAGAGGTGTGCGACCCCACTGGCCATGTGCGATAGAGATTGACGTGCTCTAACATACGATCGCTTGTATGCGAACAGGCACAGACACGCACGATCACGGATACCATGCCGACCATAGTTGAAAGTGAAGCTGAGCGCAAGTGGCGTATACGTATGTGCCAGCAACGAACGAAGGCGGCGACTGAGTGGCACAACGCGCGCAAGACGCCAACGACATGACAACATGCACACATGGACGCGCACTACCACGCGGTCGAATGGATTAGCACGTAATCAACCGACATTGCTAATCGTGAGACCCGCAGACGCACGCAATGCAACAAACTTTCGTCGACCTGCGCCCCACCCCCGCCCCACAATGGAGAAGTCTCCAGAACGCGTGATGAAGGACACCGCCTTGTCGGAGAATATCAAAAACTCAGCGTCCACGGCGGCCAACAGCTCCAGCGTTGACAGGTGCTCCCCGTAGCGAGCCTGGCGCGGGCGGTGGATACTGAACATGCGATGGTGAAAGCTATAATGCAGATCGCACTGATAACCGCAAGAGAATTCACAACCAACAATGTCTAATACATGCGCGTGCGTCGTGGTGCGCGCGCGCCGCGCGCCCTTTTCAAAACCTCTCAGCGCTGCAAATTGAAAAAACAAAATCGTCACCGGTTCACGAATTACAAAAACAAAAATTATATATATTAAAAACCTGCCGATTCCAAACTTGAAGCACGCAAACGCACATGAGCCCAAAAAAAAAAAAAAAAACAGCGCTGAAATGTTCAAAACCTGCTGATTCTTCCAACCAGTTGGAAGGAGAGGCTCTCCTTCCAACCAGTTGGAAGGAGACCCTCGTTTCGAAGGATTTCGGTGGAGCAGAAAGTAAACGCAACGTGCGCAGGTCCTAGCAAACCTAACATCACCTTCCAACCAGTTGGAAATTTTTCTTGGATCCTACAACGTGGATGGCCAGAGTCATGATGCACGGGCGCTCCCCTCACATGATATCATTGTTATCGCGCCCTGAGGTTCTGTTTTTTTTTCGCGTGCATGGTTGGAACCGCAAGTGTCGGGAGGCGCGCATGGGTACCAACAAAATGAACGTCGCCTGGATGTGTTGCGTTTTGCGGGCGCCCAGCGGGCATGGGTTCACGCGAAAGCATGTTGACGCAGATCCTTTTTTTGTGCGCGCATGTGGTCGCATGACATGTTTACCTTCAGCCTCCAAGCTGCGCGCAATCGACCGTCCGAGGCGACTCGATTACGATCTGCACGTCTGGCATGCGCGCACTTCCCCGAATAGCTACCCTCGTGGGCATGTGCATCGGGCGGCGGTCCTGAACAGTCTCGAAGTTGTCCCCCAAGGTGTCCGCTGGCGTGATGCTTGCCGGCGCGATCGCCATGACCACGCGAGAGGCACCTGCAAGCGCGGATCAATAAGAGGGAGCAGGGTTGCATGCACATGCGAAGGAGAAGGGAGTGAGATTCGCATAAAAAGACGCCCAGTGAACCCTAGAGATCATTGCTACGGCATGCCCTGGATGGTTTGAACTTCCTCTTTGCGTTTGTAAGAGCTAGATAGTTCAGAGAGGACATGGAACAACTGCGGCGTGGGCATCTCAGCACACCCCCTGGACATAGCCTAGCAAAGCAGTGCAATGATGGCGTTCGATGGGGAGGAGGGGCGGGGGAGGTTGGTAAATGGCGGAGTCCCATGATCGTGAGCGAGCTCGTCTCAATGCGTTTGTGGGCCCCCTTTTGCGCCTCCAATCCAAATCCTCCTGTCTGGCATGGTTGCCCCTCGCACTCTCCAGCCTACGCCAGCGTCGTCCCCGCAAGGTGTGTCAGCCCCGCTGTTCCCGAGATTCGAGGCGCCTTTATCACCGTGCGCGTGGCCGCTGAATGAGGCCCCGCGGGGGGGGGGGGGGCTGGGTTCGGCAATCGGGGCGCTGAGTGTTTTTGAAGGTCCCCTTCCCCCAAGAACTCATCATCCCTCTCCTCCCTCCACTACTCTCCTCCCCTCCTTCCCTACTTCTCCATGCTACTGCGTTGCCTGCCTCCTTCCTCATCGCTTACATTCCGTAGCCACGCGCACATCTGACCCGATTGGCTCAAGACAATACCCATTGGCTCAATCTGAGGCTCACCTCCCTACCCCCTCGCTCTCTCGCGCGCCCGTGGCGCCTGCCGGTGTGCACAGAGGGCAATGTATCCATTAGCTGCATTAGCAGTCGGTCCGTCATATGATGATTTTACCATCACTTGACATCACCAATTATCCATGCATGTTGTAACCAATCACCACAGATCAAACATGTCGGCACCCAGGACACAAAAACGGCAGCTCTGTGCAATTGTGCAATATCCGCTCGGCACAACTACAATGCCACATACACAAACAGCTGGTGCACCGCAGCAATACATCTGGGATCGTGGCATCGTCACATGCACAACATATGTACCTGTCCGATGGATCGAATGGCCCCTGATAGTGTCTGGTTCTGTGGTATGCCATCAACGTGAGCAACCAATCCTCCACTTGAAACCGATTTTTCCCTCTGGCTTTCTCCACCAAGACACCCGTGTCACCGAGGATGATTCGACAATTGTGGAAATCGCGCATGGCCACACGATTCGGCGGTGCTGGGCCATCGCCGTAGTGCCCGACAATAAACTTCACGCGGTTGTTGTGGTCAAGTGTCACAGGGAACCCTTTGCGCGTGATAGGATCTACCCACATCACAAGAAATATGTTGCCTTCTGCATCCTCCACCAGACTGACTGTGCCCTTCGCAATTGGTTTGTCACTACGGGACACTGCCATTGAAAGGGCATTTTCAACCGCAGCTGCGCCCCTTCGGGTCAGCAATAGGAGGCGCTCAGGACACATGTCTCCATCTGGCGTCGGTGGTCCATAAACAGGGTCACCACCGTCCGATGCGTCATCTGGACCACCCATTGGTGGTTCATCAATGTCTGGTGGTTCGTCTCCGTGGGGGGCCGCGTGCGGCCCTGGATCATCCGTTGGTGGCTCATGAGGCACAATGGGCTCATCAGGTGGGAGATCACCGTCCTCGTTCAATTCTTCGTCTTCGGGGTGTCCAGTGACATCATCGCCGTTGCCGTCATCAGGCCCGTCGTCGTACTCCCCCGTTTCCTCCATCATCTCTTCCAACAAGCGAACAAATGGATCAACGTCCTCGGCCTCTTCTTCCTGTTGCCCAAGCTGTTTTGTACGTGATCTGGGTTTGGTTGCGTGCTCTTTGGCCTCGCCGCACTTGGCTTCCAGGAGAGACACCCACTCTAAATCATAACCCCATATGTTCACTTGTTTCCTGGCACCATCACCAGGCAAGTGCGCAACGACCAAGTCAATCAACCTGGTTGGGTTGGGTGGCCAATCCAGCTCGAAACGTAGGAGGGCAGGGGCTAGTCGATGAATCTTCCCAGTGCATACGTATACCCTGTGTGAATACCACCAGCACATAACGAACGCATCCCTGATTGCACCCCCAGGGCGGCTGAATGTCCACGCTGTATCTACCCATGGGGTTTGTTGCAAGTCTCCGAGCGGGCCAATATACCGAGACGCCTCTAGCAACTCCGCGGTCACACGGGGTACCACCAGCGGCGCCATTGGTGGAGGTCGAACAGGCGCGTCGTCGGTTAACGCCAAGGGCACAAACCGATCAGTATACGTTGTTACCTTCTGGTAATCCATAACCCTGTGGTGCAAACCAACGCATTCGTCAACTGTGATTGGTGTACCCAATTTAATACGCAACCTGTCCGAAGCAAGCGGCAGCTGTAGGGCCCTTAGTTGTTGCGGCTTGCCTCGCGACCGCGATCAACGAACCAAGGCCGACATGGGCGGCCAGTTCTACGCTACGTGAAGCATAGACCGCACGATGGCCGAGATTCGACCAGATCGGCGGCCGAGCGTACCGACCGCCCCCTTCATGATCACGCACGCACGCCAATACAATCGCCCACCGGCGCCCACACGCCGGCGCGCCAACCCCCCACCCACCACCACCGCCGGCGATCCCTCCCCGACCATCCACCGGCACCAGCCCTCCGCCAGCACGCGCCACCATTGGCGCCACGCAGACACGCACACACAAATGACCCACCCTAACCCCCCACCACCCACCTACTCACAGACACACGCACACACACCGCACACACAAACACACACTACCACCACACACGCATTCATACGCACGCACTACCAATTAACCACCCACCCACGCCCCACCCCACCACCACCGCCACCACAAACCGCCGCCGCCAGCACCGCCAACCGCCGTACCCCACCCGCCGTACCACGCCTTACCCGCACCCCACCCACCGTACCCCACCCAAGCACACACGCACACACACAAACAAACACACGCACCACCGCCACGACCAGCACACCCCCTGCTCACACCACACCACGCACAACACATTACCCCACCCCACCAACGCGCGCCACCACCCACCCACGCCCATCACCCCGCGCCACCGTCGCCCCCCCACCCGCGCGCTGACCCCTCCCCCCCCGCCCACCTCCCACCGACGCCCGAACCCCAACCCCGCCAATGCAACCACGTCTCCAACCCATCCCTCCGCACCCCTTCCCACGCGCGATTTCACCACAACGCGCGTCTGTCTGCGCTGTCGATGAGCCCAACCTATCCATCCGTCTGCGACGTCGATAAGCCCACCCTCGCCAGACCCCACCGCCATTCATGACCACGGACAAACCAATGCGGCGCACAAACGTGCGCGCGCACCCCTCGGCCCTACAGCCGCGCCCCTAGCCCAAACTCCCCCCGCCCCCATCAACCACGCGCATGCGCACCGTCCGCCCACCCACCCACCGCCCACCGCCACCACCACCACGCCCCACGACGCCCACCCCACAATTCCCACCACACCAACCACCCTCCCACCACCAGCCCCCCCCCACACCCACACACACACACACACACAACCACCACCACCACCACCACCACCACCACCACCACCACCACCACCACCGCCATGCAAAACTATGTTCTCTCTCTCTCTCTCTGTATAAATCCCTCTCGCTCACGCGCACACGCGCACGCACGCACGCGCGCGCGGCGCACTCGCGCACGCGTACAAACACACGCGCACACACACACACACACACGCACACACACACGCACACACACGCACCTCGCCCCCCACCTTGGGCCCCCTGTCGTCTTATCCTTGCGCGCATGGCACAATGCGAAGTGCCATGGCGCGCGCGTTCGCGCGCCAGCGCGCGCGCGCATCGGCGTTTTATAATGCGCATAGTACAGAAGTAGGTTGTTCCATTGGCCTTCTTACAAAGCCACAGAATTTTTGGATTCAGATGTTAGGCTTACTTGTCGCAGTTGTCATTGCGGACCTTACGCGGCTCTTCAACGCGCGCGCGTCCGCGCGCGCACGTGGCGGCTTCGCGCGCGCGATCGTCCGCGCGCCAACGCGCGCGCGCATCGGCGTTGTTCATTGTCGACAATAGAAAAGTCAACGTGTCTGTCGGCCTCCTTTAAAGGTACCAGATTTTGAAATTCTGCGTTGGGAATTGCAAGTGGCCAATTTCTACTGTGGACAAAACAAACAACTTCACGCGCGCGCGCTAACGCACGCACGCGCGCGCAGCGGCCGCGCACCGCTAATGTTCATCGCGTGAGGGCGATGATTTAAGTCCCAAGCACAATTCTTTAAAACCTCATGAAACCCAATCAATCTCTGGTCGGAAGACGAGATCATCCCAATGCGCGCATACGATGCGAAAACGGGCGCGCGCGCGTCCGCGCGCCAACGCTCGCGCATCCGTGTTTCCATTGTCGACAATAGAAAAGGTCAACGGGCATGCTTTTGACGCGCGCGCCCCCGCGCGCCATTAGCGTTCTAGTTTTAAACGATAGCACGTTGCCATTTCTATTGCGGGCGACGTAAATCTCTTCGCATGCGCGCGCGCACGCGGCGGCCGCGCGCCGCTGATAACACTTAATGGCGAGGCCTGCAGCATCGGAGCGAGATGCCAAACCCAGTAAAGAAAACCTAATGTGCAAATTCCTTCGGTATCATCCCAATGTCGTCATGCGCACATTGCCATGATCCCCCCCCCCCCCCCCTGGCACGCATGACACGCATCCCGCCGACACCTTGCCCCTCGGCGCCCTTTGCCACAAGGACCGCCACCGTTCCCGCGCCCGCCATCGCCAACGCCAACAAACGCCGCCGAACCTCTACCGCCAATGCGTTCAACCGCCATTAAGCCCCCTCCCTCCCCCTGGCACGCATGGAATGCATCCCGCCGAGACCCCGCCCATTGGAACCCTTCGCAACAGCCGCCACCACCGCGCCATTGCCGCGCTCGCCATCGTCACTACCAACAAACGCGACAACCATTTCTCCGATTTGAGAACGTAACCGCCAAGCCATCAAGCCCCCCCCCCCCCCCCTGGCATGGATGGATGGCACGCATCCCACCGCCACCTTGCCCATTGGCGCCCTTCGCCACAAGGGCCGCCACCGTTCCCGCGCCCGCCATCTCCGCTACCAGCAAACGCAACAACTATTTCTCCGATGTGCGAACGTTACCTCGAATTCGCACTAGCGACATCCCCCCCCCCCCCCCTGGGCTAGCACGCGCGCACGCACGCACGCACGCAGACACGCACGCGCACACACGCACACACACGCAATCGCTCCCTCACGGGCACGCACACACAACTACACGCACGCACGCGGGCGACCGTGATCGATTGATCGACCTGGCTGGATCTGAGCGACGATTGCCCCACCGATCATCAGAACAAGCCGAGAACACTAAGGCAGCGGCGGTGCCCTGTCGGACATCAATTGCAATATTGAATTGAAGCCTTCGACATCCTGCGTGTCTATCGGGATGGCAGCGCGGAACAACACCAACCACGTCCAGAGCACAGTGGGGCACTGACCGCTCGCGGCCATCTCCTCCCACTCGGGGCGGAACGCCATGCGCAGCTTCAAACTCACGTCGGACGTGTTGGAATGAAGGTTTACCGCTGATTCGTCCAGGAAGGTCCTTGCAAGGTTCTGCCGTGCGTCGTATCGGGCGTCCTTAGGGTAGTCGAGAACCCTCAGCAAGCACAAAGGATAGCTGCGCAGACCCGCATACACTCTGTAGTGCCATTCTGCAGCGCCCCGCAATACCAGCGACACAATGAGGAGACGCGCCTTGCTGTGCAAATGGTTCGGGAGCAAGCCCCAGACGGCACCCCACGCGGCGGCGTCGTTGCGCGCATCATCGGTCAGCAGCCGCGCGATGTCCATTGTGACTTGCTCGCCCTTCTCGCCCGCCAGCAGCGAGTATGGCGTCTCCCCCAAGTAGGGTTCGGGCGCACGTGTGGCGGAGGCATTCGCGTGCTCCTTCTTCCTCTTCTCAATCCAGTGGAGTAAATGCAAGAAAGGTCCCTTCGCCACGAAAGAGATCTGTACAGTCGCGATGTAGACTGGATCTGACGCCGCTTGGGCCGCGATGTACCTGTACTGCTTGTTCTTCTGTCGGTGCTCCTGTTCCTCGTCCTCGCCAGACACTTTGAGGCCAGTTTTCCTATTGGGCGCCGCCTTCGGGTCAGCTGCGGGCTTCGCCTTAGCTTTGGCCTTCGCAACGCCGAGTTTCCTCGGGACTTCGTCCGTCAGGCCGCAAGCTGCGCGAAAGACTGAGCCGATCAACTCGCGCCCTTGCAAGATCTTTTCCTCGACGCTGCCGACCGAGCCCCAGCGACCCCGTAAACACCTGCCAGGCAAGTTCCTGAACAAGCGCGTCGCTGTCTCCACGCCAGATAGCTCTTTCGCGGCCTGGAACACTTTAGCGGGCATCCCGCAACTCCGCCACACATTTGCCAGCGTTGCCGTGCATGAGAAATATGGCCTGTCCATGTCGTGATCGGCGCCCCACGACCACGCGTCTATCATGGCCAGCTGGTTCTTCACAATTATGTGCTGCTGGTGCAGAATGCAGAACGATGCGTGGAACCCCACGTGAGGAGCGTGTAACAAGTCTGCCTTGACATGGCGCATGAGCGTTTTGTTCTCACCGCCAGCGTCGACTCCCCACACGTAAACCGTCAATCGGTTTCCATGTCCATGGACAGCGGGCCCGCTCGCGCTCCACACTGAGCACCCAACGGACGCCAACTCGCGCTGGCAGAATCGGTGGGTCTCGGTGCCTGTGCCTTTGCCAACGATCTGGAGGCCCCCCACAGTTCTGATGTGGTCGCAATGTTTGGCAATGTCCTCGGGCGACGCAGACTGCTCCAAGTCTTCGCGGCCCTGCTCGTAGAAACATGCGACAGACATCACAATGGACACGTGCACCTTGGACCTCTCGATTGCGTTGCTGTTTGTGGCGTCGCATTTAATCGTGTGCATGCAAAGGTCCGTGGGTTCCAGGTTCTCATAGAAGTCCATGGAGCGGATGGTCTTTGCCGCAGCCAGCCTGTGCTCGTATTTCAAGACGACGGCCTTGTCTTGCAAGCCCCCCTTGAGAGGATCGCCGGCAACCATGCACGCAGTTGCAGCTGCCGAAGTGTGCGAGACATTCCTTGCCCGAGCCAAGGAGTACCCACCGTACGTGGTAATCTCGCGGTTCGGTCTGAAGTTGATTTTCTTCAACGTCTCGGCCAGCTGTGATTTGACCTCCGATGTGTCTTGCCTGGCTTGCTCTGCCTTGGCTCTCCATATGGATTTCATCCTGTTCGCAAGCCTGAGCTAGTTCTTCAAGTCGTTGATTGCGTTGTCTCTGTCTACGAGCATGGATCTCATGTCGCTGGCGTCGAACTGGCTGTAGTGGTCCTCTGGCCGCGCGACAATGCTGGCGCCCGCGGGGGATGCAGCCATGTCTGCAGACGCCGCCGGTGCAGAATCTGAAAGAGGCAGCAATGCTGGCGCTCGCGTGGCGGCAGACTCTTTGGGAATCCAAGTTCTCCTCTTCTTTGCGGGCCTGCGCGCCTCTTGACCTGGTGCTTGCGTGAGGTTCTCCACAATGGCTTTTATGTCGTCGTCAGTGACTTCCGTGGATGCCATTTCATTGAGGACAATCGGCAACATACTGATATCCATGTAGAAGTCATCGGCGAACAAGTTGCCATCTGGTCGGGACGCCAATGTTCGAGAGATCAAGGCTTTGACCTTCCTGGACATCGTCCTGCTGGATAGCGGTCCGACGGCGTCCACTGTTCCCAACAAGTGTAGTACCAAGTCTGCAGCTGCACGGTATGTGATCTTGCCGTTAAGTAGGTGGTTTAAGAGCCCATTCCGCTCTTGGATGAACGTTGCAATGTCCAACGATACTGCAGCCCCAGATGCCATTGATACTGGCGTTCACTCCTGTCACGTGCGCAAAATAAAAAAGGAGGATGGGGGGGACGAGAAGGAGGAGACAGCGTGCAGCGTTGGCAAGGGAGACATATATAGAGAGAGAGAGAGAGAGAGACGCAGAGAGAGAGAGAGAGAGATGTGATCAAATGACGCAGAGGCGAGCGGTTGTCCAGCGCACGTAGGTCAGCTGAGTCAGCTGGGGGACGAGGAAGATGCAGGTGAAGCAGTAACGGCGCCTCCCATTCGCAACTTTCATGGCTACCGTATCCGTTACCGTGCTCATGAGCATCACGCATGCGTTCGCCAGGGATGTCATGACAACAATGCGTCCCCCTCCGACGGACACTGCAGACACCCTCAGACTACTCGGCTCCTTGCCGCCCCCTCCGCCCCCGCCAAAGGTGGACCAGGGCCAGCAATGACGGCTTGATGCTATCAAGCAGTTCTCCTTCGTCCTATTCCCGCTCTTTCTCCGCCACTTGATCCCATCTTGCCCGACATCTCCTCACCCCTGCCCCTGCCCGTAAGCTGACTTACACGCGCATGCGATGACGTGACAATCGCGCACTCGTCTTCTCGACTGGGCTTAGTGGACTGCCCTCAAACCTCAGACCGCCCCCTCCCACGCCCCGCCAAGGTAAGCCAGAGGCGGCCCGAGGGGCGGCCGCGGCGCCTGCTGCTATCAATAAGCAGCGCGGGGACCCTGGGGGGAAGCGGTTCTCATCATTCTCCTTCATCCAATGCGCATGTTTCTCATTGTCGCTTCTGCGCTCCACCTTTCATGTCCTCGTAGGCTGTGAATCTCTGCGTCGTCGATCTGTGCCTCTCTCTGTGCGTGATCCTCTCTCTCTCTGTCTCTGTCTCTCGCGTCGTCGCGCAATCCTGACCTTCTCATCTCCCCCTTCCTACACCGTTCACCCTCTTTTATCGTACTATCGCCCAACAGACCGCATCGCAGCTCTCCGCCCGCTCTCACCCCGCCTTGCCATCGATGACAGAAGCCACAAGTAGAAGACGACAGGGGGGCACGACATCACGGCAACCACATTTGGACTTTCATGTCGGGAATGAAAGGGTCTTCGAAGGGCGGACGAGCATGTGCTGTGGAGGGCGAGGTTGGCCGACGGAGTTAACTCCAGAGACACATTGGGCGAGACGTGCAAGGCACGACAGAGAAACACCAGCGGCGCGACGCGCGCCCAGAGAGGCGGCGCGGGCGGAGGGGGGTAAGGCGCGATGCAACATTTGCATGCGTCCAAACTGCCACGTCCGACATCGCAATCACAATGCGGCTAAGTGAAGCAAGAGGTCGGACTTAGCAACAATATTTGAGAACGACGAATCGCAAGTGGTCGCGCAAGGATCGGAGCTAGCGAGCAGGACAAACATATAATGGCATCGAAGGCGAGCAAGGGCATCTGCGTCGTTGGTTGATGATAGTGATGGTTGGGAGAGAAGCTCGGCGGACAGCAAGAGAGATACGCGTGGCAGCGAGAGAGGCGCACATTTCGCAAACGTCGCACTCGCCACCGCACCCCTTACAGCGGCTGCCGCATGCCATGCGCACTCCCGATACACCTATCGCAATCGCATGCCTGCGCGATGCCTCCGTGGTCGTTGTGACCCAGAAGCTCAAGTGGACGAAGCGTAGTTCTAGCGCCACGAAGCAGGCTCTATCCGATTTTCTCTCGCTCCCTTTGTATCCTCCCCTTCCTGAACCCTAAGCCTAAAACGGGACGCCTGCGCTTCGGCCGCGCTGCTGAACGGATCAGCCTACAGTGACCTACAAGAAGGACACGATACGGCGGCACAAGCGCTCGGAACCCTTGAGCGCGGTGAGCTTGAGCAAGCACAGGTTCAGGATGCGGGAGTTGCCGATGATGCGCTGAAAGCCATTTAATCCGACGGGCGCCAGAGCGGAGGCGAGAGGGTAGAGAATGGCACGGGAAAGGGCTGCAGTGACAGCACGATTGGATCGCAGAGAGCGTGAAGGGAGAGTAGTAGTGGAAAACATGAGTGAAGAACGAAACGAGGTCACTGTTCACCCTCAGAAACATTAAAGGTACGTCAAGGTCTAGACACACACGCAGAGCTACCGAAGGAACTCTCACGAGGCTGGAACCCAGAAGAACTTACATTCAATGCGGAGAGCGCCATGCACTGCATTTGCAAGGTAGTGGCACACTCGCATACACAAACAGAGAAGCACATGGTAGAAATCAAGCAACATAAAAATGGAAGCCGAAACGCGTCCTGCGCCATCTCGAAGTGGTAGTGGAAGAGAAGCGTTGCGCAGAACTGTCGCGTGTAGGCAGCCGAAGAGTGGATGTCCGCTGCGCCGCGACCAGGCACTTTTCGTGCCGAATGCCGCGGCGGTCTTCCAAAGAACTCCCACTTTGCGCCAGCTTGCTCTCTACCAATCTTCTCCCCCCTCACTCCCTCCTCACCCTCCTACCTTGATCATTGTATGGCCTCCACCCCCTCTCAATTCATTCCTTTCCTCCCCCTCCTTCCGTCTTTGCTCCGCCTGATGTTCCTCTTCGTATACCTGGCCTACGCCTTCTCTCTACCGGCGCACGCTAAACGTGCCGAGCCCTTTCCGAACCGTTTCCGCCCCTTTCTCCCGCTTGGCGGACAAGCGAGATATCGCTGGTATTCTTTTGGCCAGTCACCGAACCGCATGGCTGCACGTAGGACAAGCGTTTGGTCGACTGGAGGAGGCGATCGCCCGTTTATAAACGTGCGACTGCAGCGGCAACCAAACGCCACCAAGATCCTGGCCCCCTGGACCAATGCCAATGCCCCCCCCCCGTACCCCACAGAGTGAGTCTCACGATTTGCGTGGCAGGTGCGCGCGCAAGGCGTGTTCTCGTTGCTCATTCTCAATCTCTCTGATCTCTCTCTCTCTCTCTATCTTTCTCTCTTCCACACCTCGCGGCCCCAAGGTATATCTTGCCATCTCTTTCTAACTCAGCTCTCTCTCTCTCAATATCCCTCTCCCTCTCTCTCTCTATCCCCGACCCGTCACTCCCTCCCTCCTCCCTGCCGCATCCCTTGAGAAGCAAAAGGCAGTCCTGCTGGCAAGGTAAGTGCTTCGCCCACGCCTCGAGCCACTTGCCCCACTGCCCGTTGGTCACGATGTGGCTGGGCTTCGGGCTCTCATGGCCAAAGGACCCCATGCGCATGAAGTGCTTCTGGAACTTCAACAGATCCAGCACGTCTGCTAGCGGCCGAAACTTGAACATCATGCTGTTCGCTGGCTGCTCCACCGCTAAGTGGACGTTGGACGAGAGAGCCTCCCCAGACCCTATGAGAACGACGAGGCCGCGGCGCTGGATTGCGAGCGCGGCACGACGAAGAGGACTCAGGGCACAAGTAAGGAGGCAGAAGACGGGCTGAGAAAGGCAATGGGGGTTCAAGAGAGGGAGAGGAGAAACATGATGAAACATGCGGAGCTGCACAGAAGAGCGTTCGCACTGTCACGTTGAAAAATCAATCACACGTTGTTTGATCAGCCGCATGCGCGCACGAACCTCTGCCCTCCGCACCCCCCCCCCCCCGTCGGGCGCATCGAGCAGCAGCGCCAAATCCTTCATGAAGTATGCGAACTTGTTGCCGAGCACAGCAAAGGGCGAGCCTGGATCTCCAGCAGGATTCTGGTTAGTCCTCCGCTGGCCGCGGGCGCGAGAAAGCAACGACGAAACTATCCAAAACACTGGGCCCACGAAAGTACGAGGGACGTTCAAGGTGAGGGTCAAGGCAGGCATCCTACACTCCCCCTTTTTTGCTCTATTTCCCGACTGATCGCCCTTGTCCTCTTTCCTCCTCTATACCCTCCCTCTGACATTGTCGTTGGCCTGTTCTTCCTCCTTCATCATCGCTCCTCTTTTTACTTTTTACACATTTAGAAAACGCCCGCCTCCAACGAAGGTAGGGCGCGCCGGTAACGCAGGGATCACCAGCGCTCCAATTGCCTCCACGCGCAAGGGATCCCAGGGCTCCTCGTCGACAAGGGTGACTTGGTACACCAAGTACCTGGCGACGATGCAGAAACACTGCACTGTGACAAAGGCCCCACCATCAAGAGGCGATGGCGAGGGCAAGGGGTAACCGAGTGCAATTGAGCGCCCAAACAAAAAGGCCACCCTTCCGCCCACAACAAGATCGCACAATCGAGCATCACCTCGTTGCGCTCTGTGCGGGGAGCGCATACTGGAATAATCTGGAACTCTGGTGCGAAGCGCGTGGCAGGGCACTGCCGCAAATATGGCAATTGGCCAGCAGCCAGCAGACCAAGTAACAAGGGAAGCGGGGGCCAATGGCGGGGGGACGTGCCAAAGCGGCCTGCTGGCAAGGTCGCCGCGTTAGCCCCCATCTTTTTGAGCCCAAACTGCACGCGAGCAACAATGCAACTCATCAACCAAAGTACCCTCCTCATGTTGATGATGCTTCTGAAATCCTCTCTTCCCCCCAGTTCCTCCCACCTCCCCTCTCTTCCGACCTTGCCCTGTGTTCATGCTGAACATGCCTCCTCTCTTGACAACGGTGCTCCGTTTCGTCGACCCGCTGGTGAGGAAGATCCAGTACTTGCACGGGGGGCCCGCGAGGACGATGCCGTTCGGGACCAGCCGCACCATCAAGCAGATCACCCTGGCGGCCAGCCCCCACCCTCTGCTTCCCCCTCCTCCCTCGCCTCCTCCTTCTCACCCTCGTCCTTCTCATCCTTCTCCTTATCACCATCCCCCCCTTCACTTCACGTCCTCCTCCTTCTCCGTGACTTCACCTCTGCATTATCATAATCCTCATCGTCCTCCTGCTTCTCCTCAAGACTCTCCTCTTCCTCCTCACCCTCAAAACTTCTCCCCTCCCCCCTCGCCCTCTCGTACTTTCCGTAATCGTCGTCGCCGCCATCATCCCGCAAACTAGTCTCGCGTCAACTCCCTCCCCATGCGCGCCTAAACACGCCCTGCTCCGTCAAGACGTCGTTGCAGGCGTCATCCTGCTCGTCGAAAGAAGCGCAAGATAATCCTAGCGACTGGCATTCTTTCGTGAAGTTGGCCTGGCCAGAGAAGAGGTCCACCGCGTCAAGCCGCTCGAGCGCCCTGGTCTCCAAGAGGGCAGCCTCGGGGCGGAGCGCAAACGCAAACGGAAGCAGAGCAGCAGTGGGGCAGGAGAGAGCGGAGAGAGTGGAGGGTACGAGGCGGCCAAGGGGAGGGGGTGAAAAGACGAGACGAGCAACGGAGGGGGAAGTCGGACTCGGAAGGAAGAGAGCGAAGAGATCGGGGAGGAAGGAGAAATTGACGGGGAGGACGCGACTGCGAGGGGGTCGGGGGGGAGGTGAGGCCCTCATTCCTGAGATTTCAATCCCGCTCGACCTCCCTGTCTGCTTGGAACGCCCTTTTGATCTCCCGGCGCCGCGCGCGATGTGCACCAACGAACTGTCGCTGCACATAGCGGATGGCAAGGCGTTCGTTGCGCGTCAACACCTGGTTGTCGCGCTTCGTGATTACGACGGGAACCTCAAGGGCGAATCCAAACAGACTGAAGGATGCACGCCAGCCTTGACCACGCGGGTCCAATCGGGAGGAACCTTGGACCAATTCACGCTGAGGCTGAAAGGCCCACACATTTCCGAGTGCAAGCCCTTGAGCCGCTCGAACGTCCACTTCCTACGGACCTCTGGGCCCCTCGGCCCCGTGAGAACGCACCCGATCACAGGGGCCCCCTCCAGGGGGAACTGGAGACGGGATCGCGTGGGCGAACTCGTACAGCCGCGGGAAGGTTACGCCGTCCTGCTGCACCTGGCGCGACGTCATCCTCTGGCCCGCTCGCGCCGGCGTCGGAGGACGACGCGCCGGTGGCGGCGGGCGCGGCCACAAGTCCCGCAGAGTCGGCTGACCGCGGCTCCTGCTGGCCGCAAGAACTCTTGTGCGCTTCCTCTCCTCCTTCATTCCTTCTTCTCCCCCCCCATCCTCCCCTTCCTCCTTCTCCTCATTTTGCTCGTTCTCTTCAGCAGGGGCGGCAGAGCATATCTTGACGTGAAGTATGAAGCGAAAGTACTAACAGCAGTGACAGAACTATATCAGAGACGGAGGGCACTGCTGAAGCGGAGAGGGGAGAGAGAGAGAGAGAGAGAGAGAGAGAGAGAGGAGAGAGAGAGAGAGAGAGAGAGAGAGAGAGAGAGAGAGAGAGAGAAAGAGAGAGAGAGAGAGAGAGAGAGAGAGAGAGAGAGAGAGAGAGAGAGAGAGAGAGAGAGAGAGAGAGAGAGAGAGAGAGAGAGGAGGCGCAAAGGATTAAACATAGTGCTGAGTATCCTCCCTGAATCCTCCCTCCTTCCGCCTTCTCACCACACTTCCGCCCATTCACCCATTTCGTTCCCTCCTCACCTGCACTGGGCAAACAACCCGCGGAGCTGTCCTCTTGCCAGGCGGCACGGGCAACGGCGGCATCATCATGTTCTGCGAGCGCCTTGCGAAGGGGCGGCAGGGGGAAGAAGAGAGGCAAACGACGGCTCGATCCACGCCTCGACGATTCGACGATTCGACGACGCGACTCGACGACTCGACGACGGCACGACGACGCCGACGCGACTTGACGAAGACCCGACGACGATACGACAACGACGATTCGACGATCGACGACCCGTACTCTACGACACGACGACGCGACGACTCGTACTCGACTACTCGACGCTCCGACCACGACGACCGCCTGGCAGCTGCCCCGACAGCTCTGTCGTCAGGCGCCGGCGCCACGGGGCGCGATGCCTGGGCTGGGAGGATGGACGATGGACAATGGAGGAAACGCGAGATAAGAAAGGGGCTCGGGAAGACGAAAGTTGCGGAGAAGAGAGTTAGGAAGCTTCCATCCTTGCCATCCGTTCTTACGATTCCGAGGTCCTCCAAACTAGGGTCGATCCTCCCCCTAGGCGCCTTCCTCCAAGGTTCCGTCCCCCCCTTTAAGTTTCTCCCCCTAGATTCCTCTTCCTCCAGTCCGACCCCCTAGGTCCCTCCCCCTCGTTATCATCGCCCCCCCCCAGGTTCCTCCTCCTCCTCCTCCACCTTCTCCTTCTCCATCTCCTGGCCCTCTACATCACTACATTACCCTGCCCCGCGCCTGCTCCGCGCGCTGCTCCACTCCCGCGGTCTGCATCGCGGCAAGCCCACAACCCGTCTGGCGGTCGAAGGCGACCGATGGGTAGGATGGGATGGGGGTATTCGAGGTTGGGGGCAGTTTGGAGGACGGGCCGGTGGAGCGTTGGAGGGAGGCTGGAGGGCTGGAGGGGGCATTGGAGGAAGTGTTGGAGGGAAGTTGGAGGGAAGTTGGAGGGGGGGAATGACACATTGGTGGGCATCGACCGCCACTTCAGGCGACGGTGCCACGGCCTCCTACAGAGGCCGAAAAGCCAAAATGGCTGCCGATGGCTGCGTCCTTTGCCGTCCCAGCCCCTGCCATTCCTGGGTCCAGCCATCTACCTGTCCCACGTTCCCATCCTTGTCCTCCTCCGTATCCTCCTCCTTCTCCTCCCCCTCATCCTCCTCATTCTCATCCTCCCCTTCCCTTGCTTTGCGCATATGAGTGTTAGGCTCGAGGTGCAGTTGACCATTTACAGTCGGGGCTCAGCGCGGCCATGGCCGCGGTTTTTGATTACTCTAAATGGCAATGGGTTGCGCTTGAAGCAGTTGGCCCGCGCGAAGGGTTTCGCAATTACGTGATCCCGTTGTTCCCGCCGCAGCCGCTGCCCTCGCCGCCCTCGACTTTCACGCGGCCATCAGACCCGTCCGAGAGCGACGCGGAGATGCCACAAGCTGAAGACCATGAAGATAATAATTAAGGCGCACTGCCACTGTCCGACGTGGGAAGAGGTTGAAGGGCGAGAAGGCAAACAAGGAGAAAAGTGTTGACCTAAGTTAGGAGTCTACCATTGCCCTCCAGCTCCTGAGTATGTCTTCCTTACGTGACCTTCTCTGCCAGACTGTTCTGCCTCTCTTGTACTTCCCTATCCGTGTTCTCAAGAACGCCGCTCACACCGACGACCTCGTCGTCGTCGACGCCGTCGTCGTCGTCAACGTCGTCGTTGGCGTCGTCGTCGTTGCCGTCAGACGTCGTCGTCGACGAAGCCAGCCCCCGCCCCCCGAGGCGCGCATCTTCGAGAACTGAGCGGCATTGGGGGCGAGTGAAGGAGAGGTAACAGGAGAACAGGAGAAGACGAACAAAAGAGAGCGAGGCGAGAAGAGCGAGCGGCGAGCAGACGGAAGGACAAAGGAGTGGAGAGAGGATGGCACGCGCGCGCGGGCAAGGCGGGGGGAGGCCTAAGCCCGCGCATGGGCGGTGCCGGCGGGGGGGGCGCCCGCGGGATCCGAGCCCGCGCGGCAAGCGGCGAATCGTCCCTCTTTTTTTCTTCTTGCTTCTCCACCTCCTCCTCCTCCTCCTCCTCGTCCTCCTCCACCTCCTCCTCCTCCTCCTCCTCCTCCTCCTCGTCCTCCTCCTCCTCCTCCTCCTCCTCCTCTTCGTCCCCCTTATCCTCCCCCTCCTTCCTGCCTCTACTTCTCCTCCTCCTCCTCATCCTCCTCCTCCTCATCATCCTCTTCGTTTCCCTCCCTTCCTACCTCTCCTTCTCCTCTCGTCTTCGTTATCATTATCCTCTTCCTGCCTCTCCTCTCCCTCCTCCGCCTCCCCCTCCTTCGCCTCCTCCTCCGTCGCCCCCTCCTCCTTCCACTTCTCCTCCTTCTCCGTCTCATAAGCGTCCTCCTCGTCGTCGTCTTTCTCCTCAGCATCCTCACTCTTACTATCAGCCTCCTCCTCCTCAGCTTCCCAATGCTGTTGCTCATTCTCCTCATTGCCCCCCTCTCTTGGCACTGTCTTGTCGCTTTCCTGTCTGAATGCGTGTCTGATCCCCGGTCGCCCAGATGTCTACGCCGCTCGCACCTGAGGCCAACTCTTCATCCCCCCCCCCTCCTCGAGTAAATTTCTGGACGCGTATGGTGATGCAAGTGTACGGTCGCATACGTAAACGATGCAAGGGCAAATTTTACAACACGCAATAACACACAACAGTTATTTACAATATTACACAGGTCCGTGGGATGTTTCGGCGCCACTGCTTGCCCGTGTGAAACTAAATGTGAGACAAGGTGTACACTGGCAGCGGTTTCGAGTCCCTCCATCCCACCCTCCCACCCTCCACCAGACCACATTAACAATACTCATAGCAATCACGCTGCTACGCAAAGTCCAAACACAATCCCGATAAACAGCGAATATCTGAGAATAATGCCTTTGATATGTGATGACGGCTTGATTGGCGACTGTGTTGTTTTCGATGGGTAGCTTGCTTTTTAAATCGCATTTGTTCTCTCAACTGTCGTTCCTCACGTTCTCCCTCATTTGTTCAGCTTAACACCCTGCCACCCCAACAATCGCCAAATCAAACACAAGGGCGAAACATTACAACCCCAACGAACAAGAACAATAGATGCAAAAATCTGCGAGCACCAAACACTGCTACAAAAATGAGACAACCGTGACCCACATTACAGAAAACAATGAACCATACTTATAAATCCGTTAGGCCCTGGCGAGCTGCCCTTCAGCTTTAACGTCTCACCCTCTGTTATTAATTCGCACTCTGCGGCGTTGCAACGCAGTGCAATGCAAGAACACCATTTATTAACTATGGTTCGTCCTGTCTGGCGGACTTCGGATTTCCTTGCCCTAAAACGGCGAGGATTTGCAATCAGCGGGGCGCTGCTAAAGCAAGAACGCCCAATTTGCAGCAACAAAAACATATGTTACTGAATCTGGCGGGCCTGGAAATAAAAATCATATGAAGCTGTGATATGCAAAACATATTAAAACTAGCTGTCTGTGGTGGTTGTTGGAAGGACTTTTGATCATGCCCAGGAGCCCAGCATGACCTCCCCACCTCTTGGACTCAAAATATGCACAGGTGCTCGGCCCCGCTCGACGGGCAAAACTGTGCTTCGCCCATGGGTCCTTGAGCTGGATGTCTATCTTGGGGCCGTAGAACGCCCCGTCCCCCTTCTTCAGGCTCCACGGCTTGCCCGTCTCCTCCAGGGCCTGTCGCAGTTGCTCCTCCGCGCGCTCCCACATCTCCAGGGCGCCCAGCGCCTTCTTGGGCCTGGTGCTCAGGGCGAGCGTGAACTCGAAGCCGAAGAGCTCGTAGATGTCGAAGACGAAGTCGAGGGCCGCGGCGACCTCGCTCTTGATCTGGCCCTCCGTGCAGAAGATGTGGGCGTCGTCCTGCTGGAACCGGCGCACCCGCGTCAGGCCCGAGAGAGTGCCGCTGAGCTCGTTCCGGTGCAGCACGCCGAAGGAGGCCAGGCGGATGGGCAGCTCGCGGTAGGAGCGGGGCCGGCTGCCGAACATGATGCAGTGGCCAGGGCAGTTCATCGGCTTCAGGAACCACTCCTGCCCCTCGACCTCAGAAGAACAAAGAATTGCATACATATACAGTAGGGGCTCGACCACAAGAAACCTTCCACAAGAAACCCAACCCTGAGACCCAGGGGCGTCCACTGATTGCTGGTGCGGGCACGTCACACTTTCCATAGCAAAACCATCGAAACCCAAGAAACCCAGAGCACCCTGAAGGCAAGCAGAGTGTGTCTTGGCAGGGGTCTCCACTGTAGACGTTCAGAAGACCGCGCCACTGTAACCCTACCAGGTCCTGAATCTGTGGCAGGGGGAACTGGGAGCCGAGGGCTGAACAACGACAACCGAATAAACGACAACGCTGGGAGGTTCACGCCAAGCTCCAAACGCCTATGCGCACTCACCGGTCGGAAGACGGGGGTTGAAACACGAAGTAGAGAGGCGTTGAAAGTAGACTGGGCCTCCGCCGACCCCCCGAAGAGGAAGGAGAAGGAAAAACGACTCGATCCTGAAAGTGGGAAAGCGCCTGAAGTCTATTGGAACCTGGGCGCCCAACCACACAGACTTTCAACAAGCAGTGGGTGCGCCGTGTCTTGGTCCTCGAGACCTTGAAGCCGTACATGTCGTCTCGATAATTCTGGTAGTGTCCAGATCGTTTGAAGAGGTCGGCCGAGTATATGTTCGGCGTGATGACCTCCTCGAAGCCGCGCGAGCGGTACTCGACCCGCATCAGCTCCTGGAGGCGGTTGTAGAGGCGCGCCCCGTAGCTCGTCCAGAAGCACGAGCCTGGGGAGGTCACGGCGTCGAAGAAGAAGAGCTCCTCTGGGGACGTGCTCGGAAGGCAACTCCCAGGAGGTCTTCATGGGAACGATCAGGTATCATCACGCTCGATGGCAGGTGATATCAAATTGACGCTGAACAGGGAACGAAGGAGCTTGTCTGGCTACGGAGAGCCTCAGCCACGAACAGGTTCCCCGACCCAACTCTAAGGGACGGCTGGGAAACCAGAGCCTATCCCGAGACCAAAAGAAGCCAAAGTCCAACGTCGTTATTACAAGGCGAGACAGAACTGGACTGAAGTCAAATAAGCCCAGGATGAAGCCGGGTTGAGGCGGGATTGAGACAGATAAAGCAGCACGGAAAAAGACTGGAACGAGATTCGGCCACGGATGTACCAGCGCCGTTGCTGAATTTAGCCCAAGACTTGCAGCCGAGCTCGGGCACGCGCGAAGCCGGGTCAGCCAGGGCCACGTTGCGAAACCCGGCCAGAGCTCCAGAGCCTGGGTCGGCGGAGGGTGGGAAGAGGGTGCTGGCTCCGCGCGGCTCCCAAGCCCAGGTGAGCCAGGGAGGACCTCCTCCTCCTCCTCCTCCTCCTCCTCCTCCTCCTCCTCCTCCTCCTCCTCCTCCTCCTCCAAGGGGGCTGGCCGACCCGCGTCCACGAGGAACCCCGTTCCCTGCGCCCCGACTCCTGCTTCTTCCCGATCAGCCGGTGGTCGCGCTCCTTGGCCTCCTCCAGGCGCCGCATGTGCTGCTTGAGCTGCTTGTCGCTGGGGAAGGACACGCCGTAGACCCGCTGCAGGCTGTCCTTCTCGGCGGAGGCGCAGTAGTAGGAGGACGACGTCTTCGTCACCTGGAAGGCCTCGGTGCGGCCAGCGGGCGAGACGGCACGCGGGGCCCCCATCGCGCTCCTTCACGCGGGCACGCGCTGGCACGGACTGCGGACCCGTGGATCTGGCACGTGGGCGCGGGGCCCCCGGGAGCCACGCAGCCAAGCACCGCCCATCGGGACCCGCCGCCGACCCACTCGCCTCCATCAGCGACTCCGCTGCCTCGACTCACCCTGCTTTCCCTGCCACACTCTCCCTCGTCCGCACCCCCGGCCCCTCCTGACGCCCCGTCCTCCTCCTCCTCCTCCCCCTCCTCCTCCTCCTCCTCCTCCTCCTCCTCCTCCTCCTCCTCCTCCTCCTCCTCCATCCTCGAGCATAGAGGCTACATATTGTTAGCGTTCGTGGCCCTTCCTGGACCTGCGGATGCCTCCAGTGACACCCTTCCTGCACCCTTCCCCCATCCTGTTTCTCTCTCCTCACCACCGTTCCGACCGCCTCTGGTTGAGGCAGATCCTTCCAAGCCTTCGAACCTCTCCCCGCTTCCTCCTCCTCCTCCTCCTCCTCCTCCTCCTCCCCCTCCTCCTCCTCCTCCTCCCTCTTCCCTTCCGCATCCTCCCTCCACCCCACCCGTCTAACCCTCCCTCCAAGTTCTCCTCCTACTCCTCCTCGGCAAAACCCTTCCCGTACGCATCCTCTTTTAGGGCAGCAAGAAACTACACGAACACCAAGTTTCGAAGGTCCAGAGCCGATCCAAGAAGCACGTGCGGACCTCCGGAAGTGCATGCTATGCATTTGTTTGCTCGTCTTGTCGGGTCTTTCCTCCTCACCCTTAGTGGGCCCCGGAAGCGACAGGGCTTTATTGTTTTTTCGAAAACAGTCTCTGGAACCTGGAAACGAGGGAGAGGCAAAAACACACCCAAGACAAAAAACGGCGCCGGAAACGAGAAACAAACTCCTTCGGGATACCGCGCGGCCTTAATGCGGCCCGTGGACGGGACGTGGGGCCCGCGGCACAGGTCGATGAGCGGGCCGCACCGGTACGCCGTCGTCAGCGTGTCGTCTGTGATCTTTCGCCTGATCAAGTCCACCTTTCGAAGGGGGGCCCTCCCCCATCTCCTCCACCTCCACCTCTCCTCCCCCATCATCCTTCTCCGTGGTCGTTATGGCTCGAGCCCGGGGGCGGGAAAGATCAAGGTAAAGGGAAGAGGAGGGGAAGCGAGGAGGGCGAGTAAGATTGGACCGGGGAGGAGGACGTGGAGGGGATCCCGTTGCTCCTCCCTGGCTCCACTGGCTTCCCCACATGAGAAATGTCGCGCAAACACGGCACAGCCCGAAGTGAGGCTGAAGGGATGCAACTCTCTGCTGTTGAGGCTCCTCCTCTTTCCTTCGAAATCCTCAGGAAGTCCTCCGGAGGCCTGCCTCCGGAGACCCCCCAAGAGAGGCACTTGACGCGGACATGTCCCGACGGTGCGTTTGTCTTCTCTGCGACCGCTGGGGAGCGAGCGAGGCCGAGGGGAAGCAAGACTGAGCGTGAGCGAGTCCGAGCACGACGCTGCCCTGCTGCTCTCGCCTGCTCTCCCCTGCTCTCCGCTGCTCTCCGCTTCTCCCTGCTGCCCTCTACTGCTCTCCTCCTCCTCCTCCTCCTCCTCCTCCTCCTCCTCCTCTTCCTCCTCCTCCTCTTCCTCCTCCTCCTCCT